ATATGTATATATATATATATATATATATATACTGTCTCTTATACACATCTAGATGTGTATAAGAGACAGGTAATCGAATGCAAAAAAAAAAAAAAAAAAAAAAGAATGAATGTCTGCTAATTATTTTGTAATACTGATGGAATCAGCTACAGTGTTAGACGTTATTCCAAAGTTGTTGTTGTTTTTTTTTTTTATAATGCTTAGATATTTTTCAACCACAAATTAAATATTCTGTGTAATTATTATTGTTAATCAATTCTTGGGATAATATATTCATATACTGTAGTCATGAAGGTGCAGAGAACGTCGTGAAAATACAAAACAGAATGTAACAATTGAGAACAACTTGTGATTTTTTTCGCAATTGTCTTCAAACGTACTGAGTATTCAGTACGTTTCCACGTCAGGTAGGGCAAAATTACACTTATACATATTTCTCCTGAATCTCCAAATCCAGTTATTGTCTATTCCATCCCGACAATAACAATTACTATCAAAACAGAATGTATTACAAAATGATCCACAAGGGGAGTTCCACCGTCCTGTGGCAAATGTAATCGTGTATGTAAACCAATAAGAGCTGTCCTAGCAACTTGAGTTAAAATAATTGAGTTAACTTGAGTTAAAATGAGAACTTTGTAGCGATGAACTTGAAAATACATTCCCAACATGACGAACGGGTGCCATATGATGTAGTCATAAATATTGTGCATTTAATTTTTTTTTAAATGTATACTTCAAGATCAAAATAGGAAACAAACTTGAGATGCAATTCTTATCCCCATGACACCCAATGTGCGCATTTTAGGCCTTTACAAGGCGCACGCGTTCTGTAACCATAGTTTACGCACTTTTTTGTTACGTCATAAAGTAAGCTTTGTTTCTATACACTGTACTGATAATGATATTCACAACTCATTGTGTGCAAACAAATCACGTTCCATAAAATTTTATTCTCTGATTTATTTTGTCCTTGAGAAATTCATACTTTGTTAACTATGGGTAGTATTTTTACTATATTATGTACGGATCATGATGATCCCGTATCTTATGCTACCGAAAGCAATCTTCAAAATGAAGGGTTAAAAGAAATCGAAAATATCGCTTGTGACGTCGACCTGATCGGACCAATAATTCCATCCGGCATAGTAAGTGAAGAAGATACATCGGCAGTTGGAAATTCTATAAGGGGAGACAAAAATCATGTTCAAAAAGAACCTTCGCTTCTAAAAAGAATACGCCGTTTCTTTACCAAGAAAAGAATTTCACCTGGGATAGTCACTAATGTTGACAGCATGAAAAATGTTGATTCTATGACGGCATCGTCAGGCGAAGTCATGGTTAAAAAAACGTAAGCAAATTTATAATAATTACTTCGAGAAGGCATGTGCTTTGTCCCTCTATCCTTACCACATTCTGTCTGTTGTGTAGGGGAAAAACTTGAAATGGTGGCCAAGCTGTGGCCACTTTACTTGAAAGGGATTCCAGTCATTCACAAGCTTGAACAATAAAAAGGTAGATTTAGAGCCGCTTTGAGCCAATCCATGTGTACTCTTATGCTTTATACGTGCAGTATACCAGGCCATATTTAGGCCATTTATATATTATATTCACTACTTAGTGATTAGAATATTTCCTTTCACTCTCTCATATGAGAATTATCGCAATATAAAGTAAGAAAATCATAATTACATACATTCAAGTGAAGAGTCACTATAATAAAGTGGAAAATTTTAATCACTAAATGACCTTAAACATTCTTTTTTATCTTTTGATTGTATTTTCGCTGACTATCATAATTCTTATGATATTAATTTTATTTTTGGTTTTAGGACTATAACAAAATACTAGACTATATGTATGTGTGGTTGGATTCTAATATTAAAACGATTGATTTATTGCAACAAACTGTCTGTAACTTAAATTTTCCTTTTCTTCTTTAGTGAATTAGAAAAGGTTGATCCCGATGCAGAGGAATGTTCTGTAAAAATACACGATAAAGAAGACCAGTTCAAAGAGGGCGTTTGTCAAGAGAGCGTTTGTCAAACCAGCAGGACTTTCCATAATGAGGATGATAGTGATAGTGATGATACAGAAGACTTTTTAGAGAAACAAGACAAGAAGAGTGTAGGTCGTCAGAAATCACCAACGGTAGGAAGATGTTTTTGAAGTCGACAAAAAAATAACACGTGATGTCCGAATTGAAGTTGAACTGACAATGATGAGCTTGTCAAAAACAATGATAGTCAATGACGATATGATTAACAATGATCATGCTCAATAGACCTTTCCAGAGTGTCAATCAAACCAAAGATACTAGAATTACAAGATAGAGTTAGATGTGTATAAGAGACAGATATATATATATATATATATATATATATATACATCATATTAAACAGTGTGTATTGAAAATAAAACATTTAGACAATCTTAATAATATAATCATAATTATTATGTAATCTGTCAATGTACACCCATATAACATTCTAGAGTAGTACAATAATGATGATTTGATTTTTACAATTATAGATGCAATTTCTGATGCCGTCTTCAAAGGAAAAATGCCTACACGGTCATTTAGGAAGTAAGACATTGTAAAGACAACCAACAAACTAAATCTATGCATTAATTGTTTCAAAATATATATTAGACTATACAAATTTGATAGTTATTCATTATTTTACTAATTCCTCTTGATAAGTGATGTTGTTACTATACTTTCACTAATAATTTATTACCTGTAAAATATAACAATTCTGATAATTCTGATAAGTATTAGGCATATTTTTTATGTTGCCACTGAAGAAATTAGTGAATAAATATTGAATAATAATTAAAAAAATAAAATAATAATACAGTAATAATAATTATACCTGGGGAAAAAATTGGGTTTTTCTGTATCATGCCTGATGATGTCTGTATGATACAGCTGGAGATTGAATCACGGTTTATTGCTTTTACATTTGTGTTGTTTATAATATCCCATCGACTATTTGGATCCATTATTCACGATTTGAGTTACAGCAGTTACGTTAGGAGATTGAAAAACTTGATACAACTTATTATAAGGCCCTAATATTTCAATAATATTTATGATATGATAACAAGTGATCATTATTTAATAACATTTCTATTTATATAATTGTCATTGTTATTGATATTATTACTATAAGATTAGGGGCCTAAGTTTCAGCATGGTATATTTTTTATTTATTCGATTATCAAATTTATCTGTTCATTTCCGTTCTAGTATGTATCAAGATTTTGATGTTGATAACATGCTTCCAAAGAGGCACAGGCGACCACCCTCACGCTACGGCTTTAAAATGGAATTGAACATGGCATCTACTCACGTTGATCGTGAATTGCCGTCATGCTTCCACAGTATTGTTCAAACTAACCCAAGCAAGTCGCCTCTTGTTCAAGAAATCGGCACAATTAACCGATACAGACAGGTACGTACAGTAGTACCGTAGCTTATACAAAACAATTGCGTATAGTATAGAACATTTCATTAAATTTTTTTATAATTTTAGCTGAAACTTGCAGAGAGCCGATCACAGATGGCAGCGAGATACAACAGAAACATCATTTACCAAAAGCGGATGCAAGAATATCAGAAAAGAGTCTGTGAGAGAGAGGCTAAGGAAAGAGATATAGGCCTAATCAATGATCAACCCACTGTCACTACTATAGAAGAGGTAGCCGAGAATGACGTAATCGACTGAAGGTGGAAGATGGCAACAGAGGAAATTCAAGTTGGCAGAAAATGGCAACAGAGGAAATTCAAGTTGGCAGAAAAAACGTCAGCAACACTGTTTCTTCAAGGACTTATAATATAAGTCCTTTGTTTGTTAGATGGCGTAAAAGGAAGTTGGAAGGAGTGTATTTTCCCTATTAGTTGAAAGACAAACAACACACCACCCACTGAGATTTTCAGTTGTAAAACCACCAACTAATGTTCTTCGGAAATGGAAGGACTGATCGGAAAATCATACCCGATTAAAGTGTGGGAAATAAGAAGAGTTAGCATCGTGTGCACTGTCAACTGGGAGTGTAGGTCGTCAGAAATCACCAACGGTAGGAAGATGTTTTTGAAGTCGACAAAAAAATAACACGTGATGTCCGAATTGAAGTTGAACTGACAATGATGAGCTTGTCAAAAACAATGATAGTCAATGACGATATGATTAACAATGATCATGCTCAATAGACCTTTCCAGAGTGTCAATCAAACCAAAGATACTAGAATTACAAGATAGAGTTCTCCACACAAAAAAAAGTGTTCCACCGTGTTCCACCGAAATGCATGGTGGGAATACGAAAAATGGGACGCCCCCTACAGCTGGATCTAAAAAAACTTGTGCCAAACTTTCGTTA